CCCCAAAACCCCAAAACCCCAAAACCCCAAGTATTCTATTATCAACTAGTTTAAAATTTTAAATGTTCTTAAATTATGCTTAATCTATTTATTATATGTTATTATAAGATACAACTTGATCTGCTGACATTTTGTCGTCATTTGTAACTTTCATATTGGAAGATTATTAACAAAGTGTATAATTGTGTCAGAGTTGATTCCTCCATCTTGCTGACGCTTTTACAATAACTCTGCTATATTCATTTTATTAGAGTCTGTTAGGCAATCACTCTCCTATCCTCTATGCATTGAACTCTATGATACTTAATCACCCATTTAGCTCATATTACCTACTCTATCTTAATCTTCTTCCTCTTAATCAGTCTATTCTATTTCCTCAACTTATACTGGTGGATGATCATCCAACTGTATAGATTAGAATTCTCTTTAATTGTGAATAGATTTCAATCTCTCAATCATTATCATATCACTGCTTTCATCTATATTATGATGATTCTAAGAAGTTTCTATCCTTTAGTTAAAGGTTTAATTGTCATCTTCGGCATCTCCTATATCTTCTAAAGATTCTTCTCTAACTCTATCATCAGAATTTTAACGCTATTTTTATTCTTTCAATCTTTAGAGTAGATGATGGTGAGCTTATTGATAGATGTTATAATTCTTTTAAGTGACTTTGGGATTCTTAACCTTCTCTTTATAATTAATAATTTTCCTCTATTAAACAAGCGCTGGAAGATTTGAACCAGAATTTGATAAATTAAGTTGATGAATATGAGTAGAGGAAGATGAAGCTCTAATAATATCTCTTCTAAATTTCTCACTTTCAGCTTCATGAATAGATTAAGTAATTGAGAAATTATCGCTGGAGTTTTTATTAGTTAGAGATTTGTCAAATAATTCTCTTTACTGAGCACCAAATATCATATAGTTTCTGTTCTAATGAATAGGAGGTAGTTTGATATCGTCAATAATCTACTTCATTGATTAATGAATAGACATGTTCTCTGTTCTTTAGTCCAAGTTTCTTGTACTATGTACTCGAACTTTCATTGATTTTCTACTTTATTCTTCATAATTTATGATTTAAGGATGGAATTTTTTATCTTAGACACCGGAAAGATCTGCATTAAAAGCACCACTTGAACTACCACCGACTTAATGATGAGAACTTTGAGCTTACTGATCTTCCTATTAATCAACACTTTCATTTTATATATCTTCCATTTTTATCTTTTCCTCTTCTTAAAGCTATTTCTAAGAATATTCTTTTTCTATTTACTAAAGTATTTCAACTTGTTATTCTCTTTCAAAATTTTCTTGTGCTTATTGTCTTACAACCCCTAAACCTACTCTTTCACTTTCTCTGTTTTGCTTTGGTGTCTAGAGTGCTTTATATTAATCTTTAAGTTCATCTAACCATTTTTAATCTATTTTCACTCTGTAGCTCTCATCAATAATTGTTTCTATTGTAGGAAGTAATTTATTACTTCCTTAATCTTCATCCTTAAAAGACTTGAAATAATCATTTACACCTTAGATGTCAAGTTACATCAAATCGTCATGAATTAGTCTGAGTATTGCAATACAAACTTAGAACATGTATCTTGTACCAAATACCAGTAGATTATCCCAAATTCTGATGCAAAGTCCAAGAGGAAAACTATAAAGGAATAAAGATTAAAACCATTTCTACAACCAAAGTAAGTTAGGAATTGAAATTTCTGAAAAATGTTAATGTAGCTCTGGTAGTTCAAATTAAAATATCTGATCAAATTAATAAAAGTACTGCTGAAGTAGTGGAAATTCCTTTTTATAGAAACCTCTGATTCCTTCTATTTTTGGATAGTCAGAATCAGTTTTGTAAGTCTAACTTAAAGTACAAAAGAACCAAAATGATTCTTTTTCATTACCACCATTCATTAGCATAATGAATCCTACCAAAAAGTTCATACTTTGGCAATAACCCACTTTTTCATTGTAGATTGAATAAGCTTACAATATATTCATTAAAGCCTTTTATCCAATTGTTCCATATTAATCCTTATCAAAAAATGGAAGCAATGGAAATGTCCTGTCCAGATCCTTCATAATATCATGTAACCAAATGCTATCCTTGCCTTTAGTCAAAAGCTCTTCATATACTCCTTTTGCAGGTTTTAATCTTCTTAGTGTGATCTATCTCCAAGCGAGCCATCTATATTGAGTAGGAGGTCCCTTGCACAATCTAGCAAGAAATAATTTTGGATTAGCTTCATAAAACTTGTTAAGTCCAATTTTAGCATGCTTTGAGAATACAATCTTGTCATAGGCAGTTTTATTCTTTTTTTCTATTACCTTATTAACTAATTCAGGATCGAGGCCATAAGTGATCATTTTTTGCCATTTTTCAAGGCGACTATTTTTAACAGAATTTCGTTACAAACTAGGGGGAAGAGATTTTATTAATTCATCGTATTAAAAATACACTCCAGTTCTACTCTCTTCTTAGTCTGGTGGAACAATCATTCTTTAGTCTACAGGTTCAGAATCTTCATCTATAGAGAGATCTTTGTGAGGAGGTCTTTTTATTATAGTCGGTTTTAATTGCTTTTTATACTTTTGGCTTTTACAATTCAATGAAGTGCATGAAGCTCCCATTTTTCACAAGCAGTCCTTTTATTTAATTATTTATCATTGGAGCAATCGTATTTTTTAATAATAAATTTAACTTAAATTTTATAATTTAAAAATGACAGATTAATTCAAGATAACTAGATAGTTCTTAAAAGATTATTAAACACCTGGATCTTATGGAGATAATAACAATGCTTTTGATGAATATCCAATTCTAGGAAAGACTACTCTTATTGTAGATGTTTAGAAATTATCAAGCAAATTCGAACAGTATTTCAATTAATTTCTTGAGACTATTAAAATTGGGGGCTTAATCATCTCTCTATTTATCCTGGCAATTAACTTCAATGAATTCATGATGCTATTAAGAAAGGAATAAGTTTACTAATAAAAGGATACTAGCACTTTATGATTCATGATATACTTTCATTACACTGCTTTGTTAGCATATTTGATCTAAAAATTTCTTAACAGGAAAACTAATTGGTACAAGTTAATAATAATCAAGGATTTAGGAATATAAATTGAGAGTAAGACGAAAGGAGGTTCTGTTTCAAAAAGATTTATAGATATTTTAAGAGTGAGAGATATTGTTATTAATGAAGTAAGAATATTCTACTAAAATTCTATTATAGTATCTGACTTATTTCAGTGTTGGCTCCTACCTAGCAATTATTGTTGAGAATGAAAAAAAGTTGATACTTCCATTCCCTGTAAGATAATTGAAGTATAATATTTTTGAAATATAGGAATTCAATCTTAAATTACAGGAATTGATGCCGATTTATTAAGAAGTTAAAGAGCTATTATCTGATAATTAGCAATGATTGCTAAATTATGTTTTTACTTAACATTTGATTTAAACATGTCAAAAGTAAATATCTTGACACTTTAAATATTGAATTTAATATGCTAGTTTATTTAATTCTAACTATATAATTTACATAAAAATATTGGCACTTTTATTTTCATTTGAAATTGTGTTTTAAATAATATTAATCTAATTTTCTTGTATGGGGTTTTGGGGTTTTGGGG